CTCCTGTGTACCCATCTGCTGCAAGCCCGTGTGCTGTGTGCCTGTCTGCTCTGAGGTTTCCTCTCCCTGCTGCCAGCAGTCCAGCTGCCAGTCAGCTTGCTGCACCTCGTCCCCCTGCCAGCAGGCCTGCTGTGTGCCCATCTGCTGCAAGCCCGTGTGCTGTGTGCCCATCTGCTGCAAGCCCGTGTGCTCTGTTCCTGTCTGCTCTGGGGCTTCCTCTTCCTGCTGCCAGCAGTCTAGCTGCCAGCCAGCTTGCTGCTCCTCCCCCTGCCCGCAGGCCTGTTGTGTGCCCGTCTGCTGCAAGCCCACCTGTTGCAGACCCTCGTCTTCTGTGTCCCTGCTGTGCCGCCCTGTGTGCAGACCTGCTTGCTGCGTGCCCACCTCCTCCTGCTGTGCCCCCACTTCCAGCTGCCAGCCCAGCTGCTGCCGCCCAGCCTCCTGTGTGTCCCTGTGCTGCCGCCCCGCCTGTGCCCGCCCAACCTGCTGTGGCCTCTCGGGCCAGAGCTCCTGTTGTTGACCAGGTCATCCCCCTGGCCAGCCGGACACTATAGATCACCACCATCTCCCTAATTTCTGGCCTCTCAGTGACCTCAATATCTGTATCACTCCCTGAGTGCATGGCTACCCGCTCCTCACCTCAGCCTTTGAGGGGCTCCCATCAAACTCAGACCATGCTGGAAACCTCTGTGGATCCTCCTAGCCCCTGCTAGGCACCTGCTGGAAAACCCAATAAACTCCCGTGTGACCCACGTGTATTGCTCTCCACCTCGTAGTCACTCCTGGTTAATAGCTAGCCAGTCACAGTGTGGGCCCAGAACACAGTGCAGCCTTGGGCCCTGACTGCTCTGTGCCCTCCCCACAGTCTGTGCCAGCCCAGGAAGGGCCAAAGGGACCTTGAAGCCCCCACCCCACCCAGAAAGTGGGCCTCTCCCCCAGAATCCACAGGGATGCCCAATATGCTCTTGGCATTTCCCTGAAGAGTTTCCCACTGGAAGAGCCTCCCTGCTGAGAAGGGGGCTGTGGGATACAAGTTCACAGCTTTCTCCAGAGAGAATCAGTCTCTCTCTCCCTCCTGCAGCTCCCTCCTCCCTGGGCTGGTAGGATTCTGCGCCCAGGGTCAAGTGCCCAGGCTGGCCTCCCAGGCTCCCCTGTACTATAAATGGCCCAACTTCCTTCTGCAGCCCCTCTGTCTGGAGCCTCCTGCTAGACCATGGCTAGCCAAACAGAACTGAGCTCCCACTCTCCTGGTCACACTCCTTAGGGCACAGGGCCACCTTGTACTTCCCACCACAAGAAAATGACTCTTGGTGACCCATCCTCAACTGTCCATCACTGAGCTGTGGCTCTTCTCCAGATGCCAACTCGCTCACTCCCCCAAGCTACCTCCCCTCCACCCTAGTGTCACAACTCAGTCCCTGATTGGCTCACAGGACCTTGCTGGAGTCAGCTCCCTCTGGCCCCACTCCCTCTGGAGCCCTGTCCCTACAGAGTGTGGTCCTGTAAAGCCTCCTCCTGTGCCCTCAGCCTCCAGAAGGCATCTCTCCTGCTCCTGTCTCCCTGACGTTCTCCCAACTGCTTCATAGACTGACCTCCTCTGGGTGGCCTTGCTACAGCCCCGGGACCTGGGTGCTCTCTCCTGGGCGCAGGCGCCAGAGCTGACCACATGAAGCTGCTCTCCATATGGCTGAACCAGCATCTTCCTCCCCTGCCCTCCCCCAGGGCCAGCTGGCCCCGCCCCATCCTCAGCTGTCCATCACTGAGCAGCTGCTCTTCTCCAGGTGCCCTCGGGCTCAGTCCCTGCCCATGCCACCATCATTTAGTCCTGGTTGAGATAGGTCCCAGTTTGCTCAACAGCTGAGTGGCCACAGAGGGGCTGTGGTCACAGCTTCCAGAGCCAAAGGCTGCCAAGGGCCCAGTCTGTGGGTTAAGAGCACCCCAGAGAAAGCCCCTGATGACACGTGGAGACTGTAGAACCAAATTAACTTTTGGAAAAAAGTGTGTTCTTTGTCCAGTAGAAAATGTCGATGTTGAGAAAGGTTATAAGTAACTTGAACACTGAGAGAAACTGCCTTCCAGGCCAGGACTGCACCCTAAATGATGGCTAAAGAGCTGGAGGAAAGAAAGAGTCAGAAGAAGAGACCAGCAGCCTCCAGGCCTCGGTGCATGCCTGCCAGGGGAGAGTCAGCAGCCCCTGCAGGGTCCTGCCAGCCGCTGAAGTAAGGGCTGGGGAGAGGAGGCCCGCCTGGGAGAGGAGAGTTGAGAGAACATAGACACCCTGGAGTTCCCTTTTAACCCAGAAGCCACTTAGGAAGCCAAAGCCTGGAAGCAAAGGTGCCCGGGGGTTGGGCGAGGCTTTCTGTTTGTTCAGAATGTGCATGGTGACCACAAAATCAGTGCTTTGAGCCTGACTGTAGGGTCAGGCAGTGTGAACCGCATCACCAGGGAACTGCCCAGGACCTGGAGTCTTGGTCCCTACACCATGCTGTTCTGACTTGGGGGAGGGTGAGTTGAAGCACAGAGCTGCCGCGGGAAACAGCAGTAAGGCTCACTGACCCTGCAAGGCATTTGGCATTCGGTAGGCTTCAGTCCCTGGTGTGTTTGAAACCACAAAAGTCCCAGACGGCCTGTGAGGTGGGTGTAGGAGAGAAGACACAGGCCATCGAGTGACCTGCACGGTCACACAAGCAGGGCTGGAGGAGGTGGGCGGGCAGGAACAGAAGCCACCCAGTGCAGCAGCATGGGGACACTCAGGTGGGATGGTGTGCAAGCCGGGTATAGTCCCCAAAGATGACTTCATCCTAACCTCTGGAACCTGTGAGGCAACCCTGCATAAAAGAAGAACTTCACGGGCTGATTCCACATTGCCGTCTAAGCATCTCTTTTAAGGCCAGCAGTTGGCGTGGAGGTTGAGGTGGCTGGATCCCACCTGACCAACTGTGTGGTTCAAGGTCCAACCCAGCAGCCAGCTGCCTGTGCCTGGTGCCTGTGGGTGTGTGCCCAACATCTTGAGAATGGAGGAAAAGGGACCGCAGCGTGGCCACCCCCTTGGGGTGATCTCTCACTTTCCTTCTCTCTCTCTCTCTCCCCACCCCCACCTTGGAGTGATCTCTCACTTTCCTTCTCTCTCTCTCTCCCCACCCCTCTCTGTCTGTCTCTGTTTGTGCCCTATAGCAAAGAAAAACAAAACAAACTTATGTTGTTGTTTATTATATTTATTTCTTCCATGAGAGACAGGGAAATAGAGAGATAGGCACCTCCAAACAGCATCAGCCAGCCTCAGCCCGCCCAGATCACGAACTCACATACACACCCATCAGGTACAGGGTGGCCTCAGGGTGCAAACCTGGGGCCCCCGTGTGGGTCGAGTTGCGTTACTGCTGCACCATCTGGCCCCAAGCTGAGGATCTTAAGATGTGATGCTATCCTGGACTAGTGGCATAGCCCTAAACGTCATCGCACGTATCCCTCTAGTGGGGGGACAGGAGAAATTACACAGAGAAGAGGAGGTGACATGACCATGGAGGCAGAGGCTGGAATGACACAGCCAGGAGCAAGGACGCCTTGCCAGAAACTAGAAGAGGCCAGAGGGGTGCTCCCGGGAGCCCTGCCCACCTCACGTTTAGCAGTGAGACTGCTGACTTCTGGTCTCCAGAACTGGGAGCGATACACTTGTTTAAACTGTCGAATTTGTAATGCTTTGTTAGAGTAGCCACAGGAAACTAATACGAGTGTGATGACAAACATAAGTTTCAAAATTCCTTAGTGTTCCGGTTTACATATCACTGAGGTGCTGTGAAGAATGGGGGTAAAATAAAACCCTGGCCTTGTAAGGGGTCCAGCCACCCCGGTCACTGGCAGACAAAAGTGCTCAGAGCCTCAGAGGTCACCCGCCCCTTGGCACCCAAACTTCCAGCAGCTGCGGTGACCCAGCCAACTAAACCACTACACCTATGTCCCTCCTATCCCCTTGTGGGAGCCACCCTGACTGCCCGAGGGGTGACCTGCCTGCTCCCCAGCTGAGTGCAGGGGGTCTGAGCTCATAGCCACCTTTCCTGACCCACCAGTGCACATTCTATGGGTCTCCCGGGGCCTCCAGCATTATTCTCAGGCTCAGTTCCCAGGAGAGCTGCAGTGGGCCTGAAGAGCCTGAGTCTGCATGTGGGGAACGGTGGGGTGTGACATAGAAGGAGCTCCATCAATGGCCTTGGTGGGCAGTGGCGCAGAGAGACAAGCCAGAAGGGCAGCTGGAGCCTGGGCTTGTTCCCAGCCTTCACACTGCAGAGTGGCTCAGCCACCAGATACTGAGAGTGAGCCTGTTGGAAGGTACGTCCCCAAGCCTGGCACCACTGCCCATCCTGCCTACACACACCCACGACCTGGAGCACATGGTCAGTCTGCAGGAGGAAGAGCAGAGTCCATGGCCATGGACAATGAGTCTCCCAGACAATCAGGCCATAGTCCGAGGTGGGACAGTGGGCCACAGCCCAGGGCCGGGCGTCACCACGCTCCCTTGTCCACAGAGACTCAGTGACAAGTGCAAAAGAAAGGGGGCTGCACACCCCAACAACAGCACTCACACAGGGAGCCATTCTAGGTCCGCCAAGATCAGTGCCTGGCATCAGACCCGGTCAGGACGAGACTCAACACACGCCAGGAGTTTACGAGCTGGGTAGCCTCTCCTGGGAAATAAACTAGCTCTAATGAGAGGTCTCCAGGAATTGGCTCCAGGCACCAACAAGGAAGCGGGAACATGGAGGAGCCTGCTGGGGGGACAACACACAACACAGAGGAGTATAAAAGCCACAGCTCCACACCTCACTCACATACACACACTCACTCACTCACTCACACCCTCACCCCTCTTCAGCTCAACCACTCCACCATGTCCGTCTGCTCCAGCGACCTGAGCTACGGCAGCCGGGTCTGCCTGCCTGGCTCCACTGAGTCCTGCACAGGCTCCTCCTGGGAGGTGGACAACTGCCCAGAGAGCTACTGCGAGCCCCCCTGCTGTGTGCCTGTCTGCTGCAAGCCCATGTGCTGTGTGCCCGTCTGCTCTGGGGCTTCTTCTTCCTGCTGCCAGCAGTCTAGCTGCCAGCCAGCTTGCTGCCCCTCGTCTCCCTGCCAGCAGGCCTGCTGTGTGCCCGTCTGCTCTGGGGCTTCTTCTTCCTGCTGCCAGCAGTCTAGCTGCCAGCCAGCTTGCTGCCCCTCGTCTCCCTGCCAGCAGGCCTGCTGTGTGCCCGTCTGCTCTGGGGCTTCTTCTTCCTGCTGCCAGCAGTCTAGCTGCCAGCCAACTTGCTGCACCTCGTCCCCCTGCCCGCAGGCCTGCTGTGTGCCCGTCTGCTGCAAGCCCATGTGCTGTGTGCCCGTCTGCTCTGGGGCTTCCTCTCCCTGCTGCCAACAGTCTAGCTGCCAGCCAGCTTGCTGTACCTCCTCCCCCTGTCAGCAGGCCTGCTGTGTGCCTGTCTGCTGCAAGCCCATGTGCTCTGTGTCCGTCTGCTGCAAGCCCGTGTGCTGTGTGCCTGTCTGCTCTGAGGCTTCCTCTTCCTGCTGCCAGCAGTCTAGCTGCCAGCCAGCTTGCTGTACCTCCTCCCCCTGTCAGCAGGCCTGCTGTGTGCCTGTCTGCTGCAAGCCCACCTGTTGCAGACCCTCCTCTTCTGTGTCCCTGCTGTGCCGCCCTGTGTGCAAACCCACCTGCTGTGTCCCCGCCTCCTCCTGCTGTGCCCCCACCCCATGCTGCCAGCCCAGCTGCTGCGGCCCAGCCTCCTGTGTGTCCCTGATCTGCCGTCCTGCCTGTGCCCGCTCAGCCTGCTGTGGCCTCTCCTTGGGCCAGAAGTCCTGCTGTTAACTGGGCTATTCCCTTCCCCCCTCCCACCCCTGTACCTCACTAGCAGGCTCCAATTTTCTCCCTCCATCTGTCCCACTGCTGTACCCTGCTGCCTTCAGGATTCAACTCCAGCACAAGCTATGGTGATGTCTCGGCATGAGCTCGTTGAGCTCAAACCCCAACAGCCACAGATGACCCCTCTGCCCCACGCCATAAACATGCCCTTGCTAGTACTGAGGGGGTGCCCAGGCTGCTACTTACAGCTAAGGCCCTCGACCCTTGCCACTATCCCAGGTGGCCCTCTGCCCTCCCTCTGCCCCGCTCCTCCAAACTGTCTTGCCTTCCCCAACACGTGCTTGCCCTGAAATGAATAAAGTCGCCTTCCTGCTCCCAAGTTTCTCTTTCCTGGTTTCGTGTTGTATTTTATTCTTTCATCTGGCCTTCTATGCTAAAATAGCCCTGACCTTGGCAAGCTGAAGTGGAGTGCCTCTGCCAGTAACCAGCCTCTGAACAGGTACCGTTCCCTGAAGCCCTAGAGTCTTCCCCAAGGTCCCAGCCCTGCCTGTACTCATGACAGGACAGAAAGGCTTAAGGGCAGGTGGCCTCAGGAGCCTCACTCCGGGGTCTGAGCTCAGACTTGCTGCCCTTTGTCTAGATGGGCTTCCGCATTTCCTAGGTATCCCACGCCCAGCCATCACCCCCACCTAATCTGCTGCCCACACCACTCCCATGCAGCTCCTAGCCCTTGACCCCCACCCCTGCCTCAGAGAGAGTGTGGTTCGCTATGCTGCAAAGCCAGGCAGCCAAGAAATCCTGCCCAGATGTCTCCGAATACCCTCAGAGCAGTCTAAGAGCCACCTGGCCCTCAAACAGCCTCTCCTGGGCAGACACCATGGGCTAGGCCAGGTTTTCCAGTGCCCTGCCAAAGATGGGGGTCCCCAGGAAGCCGATGAGCTTAGCCTCCCTGGGGACCATTAAAATGGTGCAGAGAGACTGCAGCCCTACGCGCCTCCATCCTGGCGAATGCTAGGACTGTGGAGGCAGGTAAGTTTCTCAAGGCACCTACCCCTTCCCCACCACTCTCCTGGGGGACCTTACTGTGCGGGGGGTGGGGGGGATTAGTTCCCCCATGTAGGGTCAGAAAACTCCTGGGACCCAGTCCATGACCATGGCCTGTCATCAGGGACTTCTGTGCCACTAGCACCCCCTGACACAGAGAGGCATTAGGGCCCTGAGCCTCCTGGCCCTTGGCCCCTCTGGCTAGCCATTGAAACCCACAGACCCCTTCTCGAAATTCATTTTTAAATAAAGCATGAAACAGAACATGCCTAATTTCAAAGAGAGACAATGTGTGGAAATAGCTATCAAACTTTTGTTTAAAAAAAAATAAAAAGATGTAGTGAGGGCTGGCGTTTTTATTAAGCTTTTTATTCCCAGACTTCCTGTTCCCTCAAATTCGTGATGGCCAAGAAGCCGGGACTCCCTTGGTGAGACCGCAGGCACCATCTAGTCCTCATTCCCAGAAAGATGTGATGAGGACAGAGACGCAGAGGTTCGACCCCAGTGCGCACCTCCGAATGGCACCCACAGACCCTGACTGGAGCCCAGCTTGTGGGGAAAAGAGGGGCCTGACATGAATTCCCAATACCAACCTGCCAGGATGCTCTGTCCTGTACTCCAGGCGTCATCAGTGCAGCCTGTCCCCAGGGAGAGCCGACTCCCGACCTCCAACCCCCGCTCAGGGCCCACCCCTGGCAGCGCGCCCCTCCCCACCTGTCAGGAACTTCCTTTATCTCACCTGCAATGCTGCCAGGCCATAGAGACCTCAGGAAACACTTGGGATAAAAAGAAAAGGAGACCAATCTGACGACTTCCGTGGCTGTAGTCAGATTAGGCACAGAGTGTGCACACGCTCAAGCACACACATGTACGTATGCATGCTCACAACATGCACACACAGGCTCATACACACCTGCTCAGACACATACATGCACAGGCAAACACACACATACACACACACACACACACACACGCTGTCCCCAGCAGTAAAGCACAGCCCTGCTCGGTGCCCTCCACCCTCTGACTTGCCACATTTCCTTAACATTTCCCAGAGTCCTGTCCCAGAGCCTACAGACAGCACATTTCACAGAGGAGACAGCGGAGGCCATGTGCTGAGGCCCTAGTCAGGCCCATCACTGACCCCCACAGCGATGGGCAGCCCTCAGAGTCCTCCACCCCTTCCCTCTTACAGAGCCTTGGAGAAGCCAGCAGAAAGGACACATGGCTGCATGATCAGCATTTCTTCTCTTTCTCTTCCTCCAAGCCACAAGCAGTGCATTACACCTACTGACACTGCCAGGGAGGCCCACCAGATTGGATATTCCAGAGCCCACCCCAGATCAAAGCCACCCTAAGCCCAAACTGGGGGAGGATGAAAAGTAAGCCCTTAACAGACCAGGTCCACCAAACTGGAGTCCCCCAAGGACAAAGGACTGGAAGGTATAGGCGGCTTTCATGCCCAGCTTTCTGAGCAGAGCAGGGGTGGCATGTAGGGCCCAAGGCAAATACGGTAGCAGGGCTGGCAGAAGCAAAGATGATATGTGGGCACCAATGCAGATATGGCGGTGGGGCTGGTGGGAGCAGGGGTGGCATGTGGGCACCAACGCAGTTATGGTGGTGGGGCTGGTGGGAGCAGGGGTGGCATGTGGGCACCAATGCAGATATGGCGGTGGGGCTGGCAGGGCAGGTCTCCCAGAGGTTGCGATCCTACAGTGGAGCCCATATATCGATGCTCCTGAGGTGGAAATACAGAGTCAAGGCACGAGGGGCGGCAGCCGAGGACTGTGTCTCTCATTGCTCTGCAGGACTCAACAGGATGGACAGAGAAGAGGGTGCCCTCTCTCTCCCTAGCCCCCCAACTTGGAGGCTCCTCTAAGCCCCTAGCTCTGAATCCACCAGGGAGCAGGGACTGAATATGACCTGCTGTGGCCGTGGTGGCAACTGCATCAAGCTCCTGGCACCCTGGGTTGACGGGGGGGTGGGGGACATCCAGTTGGAAACCAAGTCCAGACATACAAAGACAACACCGGTGTTCGCCACGCTGTATGTGTGGCCTGCCAGGTGTGACCCTGGAAAAAAGGAGACCTTAAAGATCAAAACCACAGCATCAGAATAGACAGTATGAGACGTAATTCTGAAAATAAGTATTTCCATTTCTTCATTCTTTTTGAATATGTGGGCAAAAAAATGTCCCAACGTTATGGTTGAGAATGTTTAAAAATGATATTTCAATGACATTTGCAGGTTTCCTGGAGGCAGACGATGAACCACCTGGCTTGGGCCATGCTCTGGGCTTGGAAGTGAGGGAGGCATCAGATTTGATCTCAGAGAGACAAAGGGGAGGTTGGGGTGGAGTCTCCTCCAGGCAGGTGGCTGAGCCTCTGGCCCTGTGAGCAAAGGCCATTTGTTCAAGAACATAAATGGGGGGATCAGCAGATGGTGTAATGGTTACATCACTGGACTCCAACATAGTCAACCGTGGTTCAAGTTCTGATCTGGCGGCTTGAAGCTCAAGCCTGGAGTGTGTACGTACGTGCCCAAGATCCCAAGAGGAGAATGGAGGAGAAAGGATTGCAGTGCGGCCATACCCCCAGGGGCGATTTCTCACTTTCTGTCTCTCTGTGTTTCTGGTGAGCACACACGCCTTATAGCAAAAATCTCTCTGTCAAAAAACAAACAAACAAAAACAAACAAACAAACAAAAACAATGACAACAAAGAAACAGAAATGGGTTGAATAGTTCCACACTACAGATACCCATGTATAAAAGCCTCCAGGAGTGGTGGTGCTTCCAGAGTGCCAAGGGCTCCCCAGCCGTCCGCATGTCAAGCAGGAGAGGTTGGGCCTTCCTAGTGCTGTCCCCCATCCTGCCCCCACCCCCCTCTGACTGCCCATTTTTCTCCCCGTGTGGTATAACAGGGCCCACTTGTGGAGTTCAAGGGGTAACCTGGAATGTCCTGCCTTGCCAGCCAGGATAGGGAACCGTAGACTGCTTGGAACTGGGAAGCTGCCAGGGCAGACAGCAGCTGACCAGCCAGGAATTGAGTGACCTCCAGTCACCCACGGTGTGTGCTACCAAGAGAGGGATGTCAAGTGCCACATCTGTCCAGACCCTGCCTTGGGGACCTTGCCAGGGGGTGAGTTCCCCAGAACTCACTCCCTCGAGGACCCACCTTCCTGTTCCAAGGGACAAAGTTTCATGGAAGAGTTTGGGAAGCAGCCAACAAAGGTGGGAGGGGTGGTCTGAAAGCCTCTTCAAGGCAAAGGAAGCTCCAGCCACCCACTGTGGGCTCATGGTCACCTCCATAAGCTCAACAACTTTTATGCAAATCTGTTCCTGCCATTTCTGGAATGCAGGGCCATCTGACCAGGGGCCCTGACCACACCCATCCCAAATCCCTCTACCTCCACTCCCTCCCTTGGCCCACTCTGGGATCCCTTCATTTTGAAAGCCTTTGCCCCTACATTGCTCCCACCCTACCCTGAATGACTGCTCCCAGGGCCCTCCTGGACCCCTCGGGATCTCCTCAAGGTGCTGCATCCCTGGCAGCCGAGGCCGAAGGCGCAGAGCTTTCCTTGGGTGGGCACTGAGTACCTGAAGGAAGGAGGAGTGAAGGAAGGGAGGCCATGCAGGTCAGGTGCTGAGGCTGTATTACGGCTCAGAGATGCAATGGGAAGGCAGGGGAGAGAGGATCCTCTGGCACCCTGTGGTCCTCTCACTGCCATGTAACTGTTGCTTCCCACCCTACTCTAAGTCCTTCACCCCCTGCTCAGCCCCTCCACACCTCCCAGTGGCTTCCCACAGAATCCCTCCACCTTGGCCACCTGTCCAGTGGACATGGTGCGGGGCTGCACTGAGCGGGGGAGTGGGGGGACAACAGAGCTGAGTCAGGGAAGGATGTTAGGGACCCTCCGTTTGCTCCACCTGGCCTTGCTGACCACAGCCCCTCACTCTCCCAGCT